TGACTCCTTATTATTTTCTTCTGGTGAGTGCCACTGTAGAGATAATATGCCAAAAAAAAAAAAATCTTAATTGTTAAGTACCATTTTCAGTTTAAAAGACATGGAGTAAAAGCAAAGAGCAGGAAGGAAAAAAAATTGGAAGAGAGGGAGAAAGGCTCTAACAAGGAAATAGATTGGAGGCAAAAGTATAAATCCTGTTACAGATGAGTCTGAAAGCAGGGCTCCAGGGAAATCTGGTCTGTGCAGAAACCAAGCATATTTACATTTGGATTTAGTAAAGTGAACTCTACCTACCATCTTATTAGCCTATGAACACAGTTACAGCAGAACTACCTTGATTAGACTAGACCTGAAAAAAAAACAGGAACAACCCATTTTGTTTAGCTCATCTGTTCATCTGAGAGGCACAGGAAACACCTGGATCTAGATGGCAGCACTGGGGACATTGCTGAAAAGAGATTTAGGCCAGGTGGGCAGCAGCAGCAGCAGCAGATCCTAGAAATGATCTCCATGCTCTGTTATTAAACATTTCCCAAGCAGTGCTGAGTTGTGCCTTCAGCTGAACTTGCTGCATCCTCGGCTTCGAGTCTCATGTGCAGCACAGCAGCCAGCAAGTGACAGAAAGCAAACGTGCTGCCTGTGCTGATGCAGTCTTTTTCTATCAAAAGGAAAAGTGCCCCGACTTGAAAGAGACTCCCCATGACTGAGTAACACAGAGTCGTTTCCTCTAATGAATGCCGATCCGGAGCGCCTGATGGGTAATTAGTGACTTTGATACCTGTGGGGAGCAGGTCATGATTTTCCTGTCAGGAGCTTCAGTGCAGGAGACACATCATTACTGCACTCAATGCTGATTATTACCATACCTGCTCACTGCGATTTCATATTGCTTTTGGGAAGAAAAACAAAAATGCTGTGAAGAGGTGGAAGAGTTTCTCTCCCCTCCCCCCTTCCCCCTTTATTTTTGCTTTGTTGAGAAAAAGGAGAGCACCTCTGTGTTTTCACACAAAATTGTCCCTCTTATAAGAAGATGAAATTGAGGGATGGAAAGAACCTGACAAGTATCCACTGAAAACAATTCTTTAAAGCAGCAAAACACATCCACAATGTGCCTGTATCAGCAGAGATCAATAGAAGATGATGTTACTGTGATGTCTGTGTACGCATTTGCCCATCTTATGTGTCCAGGATAGGAACAACACGTTCCTGTTAAATACATCTCAGGAGACACAGAAATTCAACAGACCTCCCCAGTTCTCTTAATAAAATCCTGAAGGAGTCAGAAAGATAGATTAAAAGAAAAAGAAAAAAAATGTTAGAGGAGGGCTAGGTTACATCCTTGGGAAAGATGAGGTACTTCCATTGGCCACAGTTCAGAAAAACCCTTTAACATGCAGGCTGCAGTTCTCTGCTGAGCTGTGATGGACCACCGAGCATCCTCTTGTTTCCTGGTGTCTGGAAACACTGGCCAAGCTCCACTGGAGATGTGCAGTGCACCTAGAGCTGGGAATTCAGGATACACACTGGGTTACACTGGGATCCATGGCACTCATCAAGGTGGAGTGGCTAATTAAGGCACTGAGGCCAAGGGCTGATTTTGTTGATATCTCATATCTCAGTACAGTGCCTAATTCAGTAAATGGCTCTCAATCACTTTCCTCATTTTAAATACAGTAGCCATGGTATGAGCCCAATATTTTGCAAAAATGGAATGAGAGGGTGCAGGCAAAGATTAATGCAGAACTATTTGTGCATTTGCCATGGCTCACGCATGCTCGCTTGGTTAAATAGCTTTTCCTGGTGTGGAAATGCACCCAGTGATTTATTTCCCTTTCATAAATAAAAGATTTGGGATGGAAGATTGGCTATTTTCTTTTATACAAACTATGACATTCTAACAGTTGAAGCAGAGATCTGAGTTCAGCTTCCTGTGGACTGCTTTGCCTTGCTCCGAACTTGCTCTGTGGGGAGCTGCTGTTGACATCAGTGCTTCTGCAGCCCCTGACTTGGAGGTTTTAGATACATCATCATCATTATTGATTATTTTACTCTCACAAGTCCCAGTAAACAGAAAGATAAGGTGGATTATGTTACCTGTCCAAACTTTAGGGTAAGTATGAGGTGTAAATGAGAATGATCTCAAAGTCTCTACAGTCCCAGCAGAGTGCTGGTCCCACCAGGTTCTGCTGCCCTTCTCCAGGCAGGAGCACACTCTGGACTTGTCATCATTGCACCTCGTCCATCTCAGCTAAGCAAAAACCAGCAGAAATTATTTCCCCAGGAGCAATACTGAGTAAGCAAGGTGAGCATCACCCCAGACCATCAGCTCCTGGAATGTCCCAGGGTGTCCTCACCTGGGGAGGACACACCAGGTAAGGACTCAGCCTTTCTCATCAGTTACTTTTCACTTGGAGCACTCAGGTAAAAAAGTTTGATAAGGGAGATTTCACCTTCTGCTATGCAAACCAACTACAATTTCCAGGTTTGAAAGGTGGTCTCTTGCAAGAAGAACATTTTTAGTCTGGAGGAAGATTCTCTATCCCAGGTTAGCATCTGTGTGCACAGTATAGTTACACTTTCAGTTGGCTTTTCCTCCAGTGCATTCTTTAGTTATTGCTTATTTATAACATCAGAGACATTAAACTTTTCCAATAATGATCCTGATAATTATAGCCATCTCACTCAGTCTTAACCGACTGGCGATTGTATCCTAATTCGGGATCAATGGGAAGTTAAAAGAATATACTTATTAAACTTAATAAGGATAAGTTACTAGTTAATGATGTGAAAATTATGTCACCAATAACTGTGTAATTACATTCTTATTAATGCATTCAAACATCTTGCCATTTAATTGGCATTTAACAAGCTCATTATAGCAAGATAATTAGATAGCCATTAATTGGTAAAACACTGATTGACATGTAGTATGCTAATAGATGTCTAGTGTGGTATAGTAGTCTTGCTATATGGTAATTTAATGCTTTTATGCTCCTATCAATTAGGTCGTTTAAAATATACAAATGTAATGTATTATAAAGTGATTGTATATTTATTGGCAAAGTCATCATGACTGAATCAGAGTCAATGTATTATTTGCATACGTGTTTATCTCACATTTCAATACAACCTCTGCTGGCATTTGTAGGAACTACAATAAACAAACAAGTTCCTGGGACATCCTTTAATCCCTGACTTGCAAAATGAAGCAGAAGTGTCCAAGGAGTGGTTTGTGACCTCGGTGTGGCTCTTGAAGCACATCTGAAGTGAGCCCCCTGACCAAAAGGAAGGCCTTGCTGGATAATCCTGTGCCTGACAGAGCAGCACCAGTGGCATCATCAGCACGCCCGGGGTGTAGCTGAGTGTTCAGCACAACCCTGCAAGGAGCTGGTACCCCTTGGGGAACTGCTGTCACCTCCCAGCTGTGGGTCACCACCAGAACATGACTCTCTGTCAGTGCTGCTGGCCTGAGGTTCCAGTTTGCTGCCTGTAGCATCGGGAAAGTTGCTTCTCTTCTAAGAGTTATGGTGCCTGAAAATCTTGTAAATGTAGAACATGACTCCCTGTCAGTGCTGCTGGCCTGGGATTCCAGTTTGCTGCCTGTAGCATCAGGAAAGTTGCTTCTAACAGTTATGGTGCCTGAAAATCTTGTAAATGTAAAAGGCAAAGCCTGGACTTCCCTATTCTGAAGTTTGAGCTGCGTGTTGTTACCAAGGAGCCTTGAAGTGTTCTGAGGTCTGCCTGGAGCTGTAATTCTGTTGATGGCTGCTAAGCAATGTACAAACATAAAGACCAACCCATTATCTTAATTATCCTTCCCTATATCATCCCTGTGACAGTTTGGGGTTTTGTGACACTCAGAAGATGATCTGGAATTATGTGCTGTCCACTTAATGTTAGAGCTTGTACACATCTGTATAATAAATACCTCCTTTTTTCTAAAAATGTTGTCAGATCCATTGAAACAGGATAGAGAGCTCAAGGATGTAATATTATTATTATATACATTACACTAGCAGCTAAAGGTCCAGCAAAAATCAGTTTCCCTTCATGCTGGGAGCTGTAGAACTGTATAAACACAGAGACAGAGATCCTGCCCTGCTGTCAAAATGGACTGGACAGCCAAAGGGCTTCTGCTGGAGAGTCAATGCCAGGAGGGAGGAGAGGACAGAAATTAATATTGCAATCTGTGCTAACACAGAGAGACAAAAAAGGTTCTGCAGTGGTGCTCTGAGAAGTCCAAAATACAGAAAATGAATGTCTCACTGCTGCCTCAATGCCTCACTCTAAAGCACTGCCCTGGGCAGCCTGTTTCCCTGGCATGTCTCACACCCCAGGTCCTGCAGCCCTTGCAGCCCTTGGATCTCTGTTGGCACCCTGGCACAGCCTGCATTTCCAGCAGCTCCTGCACACCCGGGCTGGGGATGTTTAGGCTCAGAACTTCCTGGGACTAACTCTGAAGTGGGTTCATTGTGCAGAACAGGAGATCTCGATTAAGCATAGAATCACATCAGAAATAATGAATTAACTTATAATACATTTCCCCAGCTACCACAGGATTGGTCCCAACGGTGCATTAAGTGGAAATGATAATGTGAGTCTGACTGCAATGATGACGTGAATGTTGTTAATGTTCATATCCCCATTAGCTCAGGGGGAGGGAGGGTGGAGTTTCACCTAGAATCTTGCAAACAGCATGTGACTACTGTAACATTTAGAAGAATACTTTTCATTCTCTTTCCATTATTTTTAATTTCAAACATTAGGAGAATAACAGGAATGGCTGGTTCACTAAAAATAGCCATGATGTGACCATGGAGATGAAAGAAGCTTTTCTTGAGAAGACAGCACTGCAGGGTATACAACAGGGTGCTTAGCTATGGCATCATTCATCCAAACATAGGTAGTGAAAAAAGGCTTGAAAAATGTGGTGTGTTTCTATTAGCACAAAATTTTAGCAGGAAACCAGGGAAAATGTTTTGTTTCTTCCAGCCATCATGGTAAGAAAAGAGATTTAATGCTCTGAGAAATAAAGAGGACAGGTTGCTGTGAAAAACCTGGCAGTGCTAAGGCTGTGGGTCAGCTGCAGTGCAGGGTGTGAAGCAGTGAGGGTGGAAGAGCAGTGGACAGGGATGGGACTGGGCAGCTGAGGATTTGTGGTTATTGAGAGAACTTTGCTTAGGTGATGAATGGGATGGAATGGAAGCGTGGATTGGAACAGAGGACAACGCTCAGGTTTTAGATGGTGGCCTGGGGGAGATGGCTGGGTTGGGAAGGGATGTAGCACAGCAGAGGAGGGCTACCAGAGCTTGGCCCACAAGGTGTGAGTGGCACAGGAAAGGTTTTGGCTGGCAGTGTGGTAAGGCAGGGCATGGTGGGCTTGGGGATGCAGCTGTGGCATGATGGAATAAACCTCACCATTCCCTTGGGCCCCATTTCCAGGAAGTGTGAATCCCAGCACCAATGGAAAGTCAGCAAGAGAGCCTTTAGCAAAATGCAAGCTTGATCTGTACAAAAAAAAAATAAATTAAAAAAAAAATCTCTGTAAGTACAGGTCAAATAAGCCCAAGGGACAAACCTTCCTACAGTTCAGGTAACTTGGAGAAATGCCCTTGAATGCAGTGGGAACACGCAGGGATGAGCAGAACAGGTTGCTCACCCCCGGGCACAGTAATTCCTGTGTTTTCTCCAGCATTCCTTTTTATTCTGAATTAACAGCCAAGAGCAGGTAGGCAGCTCCTGAAATCATTTGCTTACAAGCCCTGATACCCATCTGGGATCAGGATGGAAATCAGATTAAGCTTGTTTGTGTGTTAAATGTTAGGGAAAAAATTACTTGTTCTAATAAGGGACAAGGGCTGGAATGTGCTCCCCAAAGTGGACAGCCCTTACACTTATCTGCCTGAGTCAACTCTGATCACACCAGACCCTTCCCTCACCACTGTGCTGCCTTCCCACCCTTCCAACTCACCCTTTCCCTCCCACCACACAAAAAAAGATGGGATTAAAGAAAAAAAAGTACTCCTAGCAAAATGCCAGGGTTTTAAATTAAATTTAAAACAGTTTAATTGCCTAATTGCTCAGCTATTTTGTGCAGTTTATTAACAGAAGCAATTCTTCGGCAGTCATGCCAACATAGCAGAAAATTGGCATTTGAGCCAGGGGGAATTAAAGAGGCAGAGTGCGGAACTAAAACAAAAAGAATGCCTCGAACCTAGTGGAACAGACATTTGAGGCTTTCATCTCATTTTTATCTCTTTCCCTAATCTGCTGTAGAAAGATCAAGGCTTGGTTTTGCTTTTTAATGTGGGAATGACAGTTGCTCATCACCACTGCCTTTACATTTGGAAAAGTACTGGATTTCCAAAGAAATGAATGTTTAAGGAAGCAGCACATTTACAAAGAAAATAGAATGCAATTCTTGCCAATAATATTGGCATCTTTTAGAAGAGTTAATTCGAGGGCATTTTTCATAATAAACCTCGCTTTTAAATATGCGTGTGTGTATTCAAACAAAACTAGCAAATCATCCATTTAAATGAATGCATGCACTGACTGAATAGAAGAGATTAATATTCAGTTATAATATACTACACTCATCATATGCTCTTTCCTTACCATACAGAGGGAAAAATAGAAAGGAGAGGAGTAGGCAGTCGTGATGCAAAATAAATAATCCAATATTTATTGCCTGTAGAAGAGAAATTCTAGTTGACTATGGATGATGCTATTGCTCTAATCTTCAGGGCTGCATCCAAGTACCCATCTGTGGATCTCTTGGTATGTCCTTGCTGATGTCTCCTCTCTCTTCAGGGCAGGCAGCCACTGGGGAAGCTCTTGTCAGGTGTTCTATAGCAGAGATATTAAGAAGGGAACCCCAGAAAAGCTACTGGGACTTCAGTATAAATTGATTTCCTATGGGTATAAAGGATGCAAAAACCTCACTGTTTTGGGGAGGATTTCTCTAGCTGTGATGAACCTACTGTGTCACAGCTCACCCTGCCTCAAACTGAGAGTCCTGTGCACAGCAATCACCCAGATGGCACCCAGGACAGCTTTTGTTATTGCTGTTAGTCGGGGTCAGGGTTACACCCCAGTGTATTTAAAGCAGACTGGCCATGGTGTGGGTAACTGGAATATGCAGCTGCAGGAGCAGCATTGACAAACTCAATTCCCTGCTGGTGTCTGGTAAATTGGGGCCACTTAAGAGATGACACATCGCAGGTGAAAATGAGCTAGAGCAGAGCCCCTCATTTCTGTGTTTGAAATGCATTTCAAGATGCCCCTTTACATTTACAGGAAGGTCTGCTTGAAATAGCAGCTAAATCATTCCAGCTGTACGAGCACATCACGGTAAACAGATTTTTCCAGACTGCATTCAGACTGTGCAATTTGGCAGGTTTCCTGGGGAGACCCAGAGCAGACCTGGGGTGTGTGCCCATCTCAGAGGGGGTAGAGTTTGGGTGGTGTGAGCACAGCCCTGTGGTGCTGCCAGGGTTGGGGAGAGAAGCAGCCTCTGGTGCAGCATCAGACAGGAGCTCCCATTTCAAGCTCTGTCTGCCCCACACCCATACACAGCATCAGCAGCTGGTGAACCATCAGTGCATGACAATACCTGGGAATAAAAAAGGGCAACCTATGCTGGATTTATGCTGAGCAGCGTGCCCAATAAAGGTGTCTCTTCCATGAGATAATCCTGATGCCTTCAGTGCTGATTACAGAGTGAGAAAGAAATGCCAGCTGACCTCTCTGGGGCTGCAGGTTCTCGGAGAGATGATGGAATGGTAACAACTTTATCCAGAACATTCAATGCCCTGTTTCTCCCTTAATTTCATCACTCGGATAAATCAGGCTTTTTCCTGTATGTAGAAAGGACACAGTTACACTGCACTGTGGATAAAGCCAGCTGTAATAATTATTCAGTCAGAGAAGTCAAACTTCTCCCTGCTTGAATTTTTGCAAACAACCCCACCTCAGCTTTAGTTCAGACAAAATATCTTTGATATATTTTGACATATGACATTTTAATGCATTTCTCTATCTGAAAAACTGACATTTTCCATGAGACATGGGTGTTTCCTGTGAATAGACTTATTTAGGTGCTAACTGTTTGTTTCCAAAACCCAATTTCAATGGAAAATTGTCACACTGGCTCCATTATTTCATCATGTGGAGAACAGGTAAATTTGCTTCCTCCCCTGGTGAGCTTTCGTGATGCCACCTCTCACTCATATTCTGCTTGTTTCAGCCCTTGGCTATAACTGTAGAGGAAAGCAATGTAGGTGACAGTCAGGTCTCTATATCCTTGGGGTAGAAAATTGGGAATCATGAAGAGCAGTAGCCCAGGTGATATTCAAAACAATATCCCACTTGTGGGTGGGATTTTAACCTGGAGATGAAGGAGAAGCTGCATTCTCTGCAGGCGTGAAGGGATGAGGTGATGCACTCTGTTCTTCCAGTAACACACAACTGCAATTTCTTCTGGCTTTTTTACCTCTTGTCTAGAAAAATGGTGAATGGGGCATTCAGCTTCCTATCTGTTCGATGCTTCTGACACTAGGTGATGACCACACATTTATTTTCTCTCAACCTCTGTTAATCTTGCTGTACTGAGATGGTTTATCTCAAGCTTTGCCTTTGTCACTAAGAAAAAGTGTATTTTCCCAGGGGAAAACACATGTGCTTGAGCCAGGAAGCACCTGATGAGGGCAGAGAGATAAAAGTGCATCCAGGACATGGAAAGTAAAGCAGCACAGGGCTGCTCTGTGAGCCACAGGCCATCACAGCAGCACCAGGCAGTGATAAGAAGCATGGAAAGGCATCCTAAGACATGAAAGCTGAGATATCTGCAGCCACGGGCCATCACCCGAGCTCTGAGTGCCATGGGACACTGTCTGTGACATGTGGCACCTGCTGCTGTCCTCCCACTCCTGCCGGACCCTGCGGCTGCAGGCCAGCGGAGCCGGAGCAGGCGCTGAGGGAGATGGGCCACGGAGGCTCAGGAATTGCTGCTCTGGCCTCGCTAGCACTGAAAGAACACCTCGGTGCACCTGAGAAGAAAGACTGTTCATCACAGGGAGCTGTGACTTTCTCTCCCAGCCCCTCCCGGCACGGTGCTCCTGCCCGAGGAGAGCTCTCCTCACCCCGGGCAGCGCTCTGGGCCTTCCCACTGCTCATCTACACCTCACCTGGCCTGCCAGCAGCCCTGCAGGGCCCTGTTTCACCATGAATTTCCACTGATTTTGACTCCTTTGGTTCTCTCGAAGGTCCCAGCTGGCAGCCCCTGGAGGCAGAGGATGCTGGAGGACTCAGGCAGCAGCCTGGGACTCCTCCGGAGCTCTCCAGCTGAACCGGGGCCATTTGCTGCCTGTGCTGCCGTCCTTCTGCCAAGTGCACGTCCTGATTTCGTGTCCTCTAGGTCTGGCACCATTCATCTCGCAAATGCCCCACAGCACAAAGTTCACCTCTTTTCTGTGCTCCTGCTGTGATCTCTCTCTTTCGATTCAAAAGTCAAACTCCTCTGTGCCTCATGGCCCAGATGAGTGACCTAGAAAAGAGACTGCAGGTAACCCCTCAGACCCATCTTTTTATGTCCCATGCCAAAGCTCAGGGCATGGATCACTCATGGATGTGCTTTTTAAGGATGACTGAAAAAGAATATTTCAGCTCACTGGCAATACTAAAAAATATGTATAGAACCGGTGTGAGAAACACAGCCCAATCCTCCCCTTTCTCATAGCAGCTTTAGTGAATAGAAAAGTTGACAGGCAAAATGATATTTCACTTTGGTTTTTCAGCTTTATTTAATACTCTACAACTGGTAAAAAATTATAAAACATATAAAACCCAGAAGTTTTCTTTTTTTTTCAGTCAGTGCTTTGAGAAAGAAGGAACTACTGCTATTTATTAATAGATTTCTCTCCACCTATCTGCAAAGTGTTTCACTTGACCTGATGTGCCCCTCTGGGCTGAAAACCACTGTGTTGGTCTGAAAATTGTTGCTGGGCTTCCCCACCTGGGTGCAGGTGTAACTTCATCAGTGCATGAGAAATGGCATTGGAGTCCTCCAGAGCCTGGGAATTGTTGGGTGGAGAATGAAGCTGGAGGTCTTCTCTCTGCCCCCTTTTTTTTTTGTGTTTCTGTCTCTGAGTTTGTCTGAAGGGCACTGTTCCACATGGCTGGGATGGAACACCCCGCCAGAACACCCTCCCACCCCACCACCCAGCGAGAGGGAACAGACTGGGAAAGGTGGGGTTTGATGTTGCTGCAAGCAGAGGCACAAAGAGGTGAGGTGTAATCTCCACTACAAATCTGGCTGATTCTCTTTTAAGGGTAAAAGAGTGGAGTCCGTGAAGCAGGGAAGATCAAAGTGCTGGTATTTAGATGTGGATTGTAACTGTGAAAAAGGTTTGGCCCTCAGGCAAATCCAGAATTAAGCTCTCATTTCAGATTTGATGGTAACAAATTCCCACCAGTGGATCTGTGAGGTGCCCACCAGCCTGGAAAACACATGATCTGGTCCTGAAAAGCCAAGTCTTTTATATGTGGGCTCCAAGCAGAGGATTAACACTTAAGAGGGAAAAAGAAAGTTGGATTCAAGTATACAAATCCCTACCACCCACAGTCATATATTAATATAGCTTATAGATCAGTGGGGGTTTATGCTCAGGTCATGTATCTGTTTTCCAGTGTACTGGGAAAATAACAGCTCCTGTAAACTTCTCTGGTCACTGAAATTAACTGGAAAAATCAGATACAAATGCATGGCTGGAGCCCCACCTTCTAAAGTTACTGAAACTTCAAGTCCTACCTGTATCCCAAGAGAAAATGTCAGTATTGAGACCATTTCCTAAATTTTAATGCTCATTTCATATTTTTAAATTTTATTTTTAAATAAAAATAATGGATAGTTAATATGACAGCCCAGTAATTAAACATTAATAATTTCATTAGTTCCTATTGAAAAGGAAATGGATTATGAATCTACATGCAGGCAATGTATAATTTCTTCTAAAAAAAAAGACCCCAAATGATAATTTCTTTTAACAGAAATGGTTTCTTTGGCCAATCCACTGCTTCACTCTGCTGCAGCCAAATTGTTTTCCTGGGAGGACCAGCATATGATACAGATCTGGTAGGATGTTGTATTTTGGACCACATAATTGCTTTAATTGGTGTGGCCAATGATCAATGTTAATTTAAAAAAAAGAAAAACAAAACCAAAACCAAACTACAATGGCATACCATTTCAAAGCTTTCCAAGAAAATATTTGAGTAGTGAAGCCATTTTAGGCCTGTAGTTAACCCTTCCATCTGCAGCTCTCTCAAAGAAATCGTCACATGCACAGTGGCCCCATTAATTTTAACTGGTGCTATCCTGGGGAAAGTAAAGAAAACAAAGTAAAGAAGTGCAGTTGACTAAAAAATTCTCTCTCTCCCTTCCTCGCCTGAAATGATGGAGAATGGATCCTGACAGAAACACTTGGTATAACCCAATGAGTGTTTTCACTACAGAGACACAGAGAACTGGAAGATCCTTCTAGGAGGCCATGTGGGATGGGTCCTTCCTCTTGCTAGACCCACTGGCCAATTCTCCTTGTGTCCTGCAGGTATCACATCATTAGGGCTCATTAAGGGTTCTGTGAGGGTCTGTGGTGAAAAACCTGACTTCTGGCAACAGGACTGTGGAATACTGAGAGCCAGAATGGGATAGATTCCCTGCCTTGCTTTGAAGCTGGCAGATTGGCAGATTAGTAGATTACCTGTGCTGAGTTTTGATGGCCTCAAGAAAGATGTGGTGCTTGTCCTGAGCCACTGAGAAACAGGAAACATTATGGTTTGAACAGCTGTTTAATGCAGACTCTTTTGAATCAGTCATTTCCTCCTGCTCCAATAATCCTTCTTGCTAGGAAAACCTGTTGTCTAGCATTGTCAGAAGTGAGTGTGTGCAGTGGGAAGCCAGGGATGCATCCATCTTCTGACAGTAGGAGCTGCTGTAGCATTGTACATGTCCCTGCAGACACCCAGATTAATGGTTTGACCTGGTTCCAAGAGCTAAAAAGTGTTTGTGGCAGAGG